GCCGTTTGCCAATGCGCCGTGGAACTTGGCATTTATTTATTTATTTGTTCATCTATTTATTTATTTATCTATTTTTTTTTTCTGGTGCAGCACTTTGTCTTCATTGGTGCCCCTTTCTTTCCTTTTGCTTTTCTTCATTTTTTTTTAGTTTTTTAATTTTTTAAATTTCATTTTTATTTCTTTTTTATTTGTTTTTATTTGTTTTTATTTTTTTATTTCTTTTTTATTTCTTTTTCATTTCTTCTTTATTTCTTTATATTTCTTTTTATTTTTCATTTTATTTTGATCTGCTTTTGTCTCTTTTTATTTATTTGTTTAATTCTATTTTTATTTATCTTTTTGATTATCCTTTTAATTATCTTCTCAATTATTCTTTAATTAACTTTTAAACCACTTTTTAAATATCTTTTTAATTACACCTTTAATTATATTTTTAATTATCTTTTAAACGTCTTCTTAATTATATCTTTATTTACCTTTAAAAAATTTTAGATATCTTTTTAATTATATTTTTAATTATATTTTGAATATTCTTAATTACGGTTTAAATATCTTTTAATTATTTTCTTAATTAAATTTTAAATATTTATAAATTATATTCTCATACATTTTTAATATCTTTTAATTACGTTCTTTTTGTTCGTGGGGTTTGGAGCTGCTGCGTTTGCTGCTGCTGCTGGCGTTTGGGTGTACGTACAGCTGAGGGGGCGGCTGCTGCTGCTGCTGCTGCGCTGCTGCTGCGGGGCCCCACATGTCCCTTTTCTTTGTCTTTAGCAGCAGCAGCAGCAGCAGAAGCAAACCAAACCCTCAAAGCTTTTTATTTATTTCAAAAAAGTCTCAAAACTTCTCTTCCCTCCACAGACGCTGCTCTTTACCTCCGCTGCGGACAAGTCGCCTTTCAACTCGAGTAAACCCTAAACCCTAAACCCTAAAACCTAAACCCTAAACCCTAAACCCTAAACCCTAAACCCTAAACCCTAGGTGGTTGCAGCTACTCACCAGTTCCAGAAGCAAAACCCTAGCCCCGGAGTTCCTGCCCCAAGCTTTGAAGCTTGGGGGCTGCGCCGCCTAAAAGCCAAAACTCTAAACCCTAAATCCTAAACCCTAAACCCTAGACACTGAACCTCAGCCTAAACCCTAAAACCTGAATTCTGAAGACACCGAAAACCCTAAATCCTAAACCCTAGGGTCTGGGGTTTTACTTAATGCCTCCTTGCATCTTTTGCTGTCTCTCCTTGCGCCCGAGAGATGCCGCTGCAGCACTAGGTACACACGGGACTAGGGTTTAGGGTTTAGGGTTTAGGGTTTAGGGTTTAGGGTTTGTTGCTGCTGCGCAGCCGGGGGTCTATTGGCTGCGAATATTTTTCCAAGTCGCTGTCCCTCTGCGAGACTGCTGAAGGCTGGCTGGGTCTGTCAGCATGTTTGCTGCTGCTGCACCAGCAGCAGCAGCAGCAGCAGCTGCTGCTGCAGCAGCAGCAGCAACAGCAGCAGCTGCAGAAGCAAACATTCAGCAGCTTGTGCAGAGCTGCAGCGCTGCTGGAGGAGGAGGAGCAGCAGCAGCAGCAGGAGCGGGAGGAGCGTGAGCAGCAGCAGCTAGAGCGGCAGCAGCGGCAGCAGCAGCAGCAGCGGGAGAAGGAGCAGCAGCTGCTGCAGCAGGCGCTGCAAGCAGCAGCAGCAGCAAACCGACTCAACCCCAGCAGAGCTGAACCCTGGGGATTCCTCTGTCTTGCTTCTTTGCTGCTGCAGCAAAACCGCCAAGCAGCAGTTTGCTGCCGCTGCTTCATGCGGGGCGAACTGCGAGCAGCAAATGTGTTGGCGAGCCACAGCAGCATTATATTTCGGGACTCCTTTTGGCCGCCTCCTCCGTTTGCTGCTGCTGCTGCTGCTGCTGCAGCGGCGACGGACGCAGCAGCAGCAGAAGGTGCAGCAGCACCGCCCACGCCTGCTGCAGCAGAAAGCAGCTCCCCCAGAGAAGCTGCTGCAGCAGCAGGTCTTGCATGCACCTGGTACGGGGGGCTCAGGCTGCGGCTTGCTGCTGCGCTGCTGCAGCAGCACCAGGAGCAGCGCCAAGAGCAGCAGCAGCAGCAGCAGCAGCAGTGGCTTCGACCTCTTGAGACAGCTCGGGCGCTCGTGCTTATGAATACTCCAGCAGACATTGGTCAGCCTGCTAAACCCTAAACCCTAAACCCTAGACGCCAAACCCTAAACCCTAGAGATGCATTTGTGAGGCCTTGAGCAACACTCCTCTTATATACCTTCTGAATTGTGCTGCTTGCTGCTAGGTCAGGGTTTAGGGTTTAGGGTTCAAGGTTTAGGGTTTAGGGTTTGCCTGCAGATGCTGAAATGACGCAACAGACGCTGCTGGGGCTGCTTGAAGCAGAAGAAGGAAATCTTGTTGCTGCGCTGCAGCAGTTTGCTGCTGCAGTGTCTTCCATAAGGGAAGGCTTCAAGCAGCTGCAGCAGCAGCAGCAGCAGGCGCCGTATGAGGAGCAGCAAAACGAGGAGGAGCAGCAGCACGAGGAGCAGCAGCCGCAGCAGGAGGAGCAGCAAGGACGTGGGAAGGAGCAGCAGCAGCGGCACCAACTGTGGCGGCAGCACGAGGAGCAGAAGGAGCAAGAAGAGGAGCAGCAGCAGCAGCAGCAGCAGCGGCAGCGGCAGCTGATGCTGCTGCTGCTGCGCTCAGACTTCTTGGCCCGCCAAGCTGCTGCTTGTCTCCTTCGGCGGCCCCACACACATGAAGAGACACCTGAGCTTCAGCAGCTGCAGCAGGCAGTTGCTGCAGCAGATCTCGAGTTAAGGGAAGAGATAGAGCAGGCGATGCAGCAGCAGCAGCAGCAGCAGCAGCAGCAGCAGGAGCAGCAGGAGCAGCAGGAGCAGGAGCAGCAACAGGAGCACAACGAGGAGCAGCAGTAGCAGCAGCAACTTTAGTCTCTGCAGCATCTGCTGCAGCAGCAATATGCGCGCGGGCGGCAGCTGCAGCGCAGCTGCTGCAACTGCATGAGCTGCAGCAGCAACAGTAGCACCAGAAAAAACTGCAGCAGCAGCAACAGCAGCAGCAGCAATCCAGCACAACCGCCGCTGCATTTCAACTAATTTTTGTAATAAATTGGGGAGCACACGACTTTCACTTCAAAGTTTAAACCCTAAACCCTAAACCCTATACCCTAAACCCTAAACCCTAAACCCTGAACCCTGAACCCTCCAAGGACTTAAAAGCTATAAAAAATGAATGAATGACAAATGAAATTATAAATAAACACAATTAAAATGAATAAAAGCAAAAGAATAAAAAACAGAAATAAACAAATTGGCAAATGCATGCAGCCGAAGTTAACAGAAAAGAGCGCACGCAGCAAATGCGTGTTTGTGCATGCAATCTGGTATTTAAACAATTTAGTAAATGAAGATAAATATGCATTTAAATATTTATAAATATATTAAAATAAAATAAAATAAAATTTATCCTTTGCATTATATTTGTGTTGATATTTATTTAATAAAATGTTTTATTCAAGTGGAAATAAATCTGCATGCATGCAGCTTCAGCTGTCTGTACACCCGAACTTCTGCGACTTTTCTCCTAAAGTATTTAAAATTAAAAATGCCATTTGACTCCAGGAAGTTCAAAATGATTTATTAAAAGCTTTTGCATGCAGCTGCAAAAGAAGAAAAGACTTTTTGCATGCATCTGCAAAAAGAAGAAAAGACATTTTTGCATGCAGCAAAAAGAAAATGTTAAAGACAAACGACAGCAGCAGTGCAGCGCCAAAGACGTCTTCGGGAAAAAATTGAAAAACGCAGGGCCTTCGAGGCCCTGCTGCTGCTGCTGCTGCTGCTGCTGCTGCTGTTGCCGCAGCGGGCTGGGGAGGGAGCATTGTGTCGCTGCAGCCCATCTCGTTTGCTGCTGCAGCCTTTAAAAAGCTCTCCGCGTGCGGCTTTGAGCAGCAGCAGCAGCGGCAGCTGCTGCTGCCGCAGCAACGCCGCTGCTGCTGCCGCAACAACGCCGCTGCTGCTGCAGCAACGCCGCTGCTGCTGCAGCAACGCCACTGCTGCTGCCGCAGGCTCCCTTTGGCAGCTCCCTCTGCTGGTCGCGTGAGGTGTACGTACACCCCAAACCCCAAGCAACGCAAAGAGGTAAAAGAAAAAGCAGAAAACGAAAAACTGAAGTTTCATCTGCTGTTGCTGCTGTTGCTGCTGCTGCTGCTGCTGCTTCGCAGAGCCCAGCAGCATCCATTGCGAGCTCAGTCGCTGTCCCTAGCTGAAAACTCAGCTGCAGCAGCGGCAGCTGCTGCTGTAGCAGCAGGTGCCCCTCCTGCTGCTGCAGCACCTGTTGCAGTGATAGCAGCAGGCTCTCCATCTGCTGCGCGCCTTCTGCGTCTGCTGCGCACGTTGTGGCTGGCGCAGCAGGAGCAACAGCAGCAGCTGCTGCTGCAGCTGCTGCTGCTGCAGCTGCTGCTGCTGCAGCGCTGTTGCTGCGGTGCTCCAGCGCTGCATTGCTTGCTGCTAGAGCCTGCAAAGACTCGAAAAAGGATACAAAAGAATTGCGCTGCTGCGCAGCCCCACAGCTGCAGCTGCAGACAAGCACCTGCATGCCTGCGTGCCTGCATGCATGCATGCATGCGTGCATGCAGGCACCCCACACTTTGAACCGCAAACAAGCCAGCGGGTCTTGCCCCCACGCATGCATCTGCATGCACGTCAGCTGCTGGCGGGCCTCCGCGGAAGCTGCTTGCATGCACTAGTGCATGCATTTACGCATGCACTGCTGCATGCAGAAGCGCATGCATGCAGCAGCATGCATGCATGCAGCAGCGCATGCATACATGCAGCAGGGCATGCATGCATGCACGGAGCAATGCTCGCATGCACGCACGCATGCATGCACGCATGCCTGGACCTCCGCATGCATGCTTGCATGCCTGCCCCTCCGCCTGCCTGCACGCACGCATGCATGCACGCCTGCATGCATGCACGCATGCACGCACGCCTGCATGCATGCA